ACCATGTGAGTGTCTCAAAAGCAGTGTGGGTGGAGATGTGTTTTTTCTTTACCAGCGCTATATTTCCCATGCTACTGAAAAGTCTGTCATGATTGTGCCAAGCCATCATTGCTGAAAGGCTGTCTGAGAAAACCAAAACTATGGATTTTGTTACTTTGGAATTTTTGTCTAGTTTTCAGAAATGACAGTTTTATCACCTATATTCCAGAATTGCATGAGCATATATTTACCATTTCTTTTCTCCCTGAAAGACAAAATATCCTATAGGGTCACTCTGGGAGACAGTACAAGCTGGGTCTCCCTCAATGATTCCTTTCAGGTACTGGAATTACTTGAAATGTGAACATTGCAGAGTTTCGCATTTAAACAGACTCTTTAATTCTTTCTGTGCATGGGACATCAGCAGTGGGAAAGATTTCCTCAGTGCATGGGATATTTGATATAAACTGATACAAAGAATATGTCTGTGAATTGCATGAACCCTCTGCACCTGCTGCCCTATACCAGTGTTGCTGTACAGCTTGCAGTAGTATGTGATCTGCACGATGTGGTAAGGCACTTGGCTACTTCACACCAGTGCCCTCAGCCACCTGTTAATCGACGATCTCTAAATACTTGTGTTAAAATTCTCTTTGGAGTTACATTTTCTTGGTGCCATGCCTCATACATCATTATGGAAGTGCATAATTATGTATTTTGCTCCCCTGTACTGAATACCAGTTCCTGGATTACTGATTTCATTTATTATTAGTAGTAGTACTACTACTACTATTACTATTTTTCCAGGAGTGCAATGGGAGTAATGCTGTGTTCAGCATATGCAGGGAAATTAGATTGTGGACTCATAGCCATACTTAAGAAATATGTTCAAGATGCTGCTGGAGAAGAAGGTATCATTGTCTTCTGCATGGCTGGAGTGCAACATTGTGAGGGCAAAGCACTGTCAAACATATTCTGACATTTAGCCACCAGGGCAGCCTAAGTAGTAGTGTAAGGGGTTCTTTCTTCCAGGTCCTAGTGAATACACCTAGTGAGGCAGAAACTTAAGTCATGTGAGTTTTATTTATTGTAAATGCACAGTGATGCAAAATCATAAGGAATCCATTTAAGAATTGTTCTCTCTGCTCCATTAAAAAGTGACATGATCAAAAGAGACTGTGGACCTTACATTACCCAGGCAGTAAAATCAGTTTCTATGCTTCTTCTGTATTTGAAACATCTGCTGAACTTAACCATTCATTTCAATTCACCAGTACACTAGAAATTCTACCAAGCCAGTAAAAGTAAAAGCAATTTCTGGGGAGAAATCCAGAGCTCTGGTCTTGAGAATGAAATATTTCAGCACTCCTATCACATATGACAGTTAAGTAAATCTGTCCCTGGTGCTGACTTTATTAAATCTTCTGTGCTTAGTAATAAAATACTGTCACCTCACCACTACCCATGGTAATGGCAGGGGAAGTCAGTGAAGACCCTCAGTGGATTCATGATAATTGGAAAATGTGGAATATACGCGTACTAAGAGAAATGAGTAATACAGAGCCATCCAACAGTGTGGAGGTAGCGTAGTTAATTTACAGCCTGAATGAATGTTTCAAGTATTCAGGAGCTGCCTTGAATAATAATTAATAAAATTGGCTTCAGAATGAAAGGAGACTGTGCTCATCCCAAGACTCAGCCTCAAACTCGCTCCAGAGTCTCATAGTTACTTGGTCTGTTTCATACAGCGAAATCCTTCAATTAAGTCTTTTCTGCAGGCTGAAAAAGATGTATCTCACATGAAGTCAGTTGAAAACAATGTATCATCAATTCTCTTCTTTGACACTAAATTGGTGCTCACATTTAATTTAATTCAACTCTGGAAAAAAACTCTGCTGCTGAAGCACAGCTTTAGTTTTCCAGCATTACTCATCCTAGAAGGGTGCCCAAGTAGTAAACAATTAGGAGTAGGGAAGTTTTTAGGAGCTAGCATATTTAGATTCCTCTGAGATACATTTTTTTTTTTTTCCTCTGTAAATTCTGAAATAATAGGTCACCATCACCAGGCCTGATCTGCACTCACTGACTTGCCATCCTGGCTTGACGTCTGCCTTGAAGCCTCACCACAGCAGCACTTTGTGATTTGGCCTCTGGGCTGATGCTAGTTGCCATATCTGAGTCTGCCCTGCCTGCATTTGTTTGTCGGTTGTCAGAAATATTCTTCAGGCGCAGACTTTGAAAATCCATAAAATATTTCCAAATCATACTATTTTGACATTTTCATGGGAATTTTGCCAAAATAGAATGAACCAGAAGAACTTTTATTTTTAAATCTAGTTCTAGCTATGTGCATGATATATGTACATAGTCTTATCCTCAGATAACATAGAGCAGAGACAACTGAGGGAAATCTCTTTATAATTAAGCCAATTGAGTACACAATCTTTTTCCTTCAGAAAGAGGGTATTTCGGTAATTAATCTTGTACAATGAGCACATACTGTATCTTTTGGGTAACCTGACAGCCGTGGAGACTCTCTAATAAAGTATATTACTTTATTATTTTTAATTATAAATATATATATTTTAAATTGCTTTCCTTTATTTTTCTTACTCTTGTCTCTCTGACTTCTTTGTTTTGGCCCTTCTGTATGGAATCTTTTAACATCAGCATTTCTGCACATATGTTAGCACAATGGGTTGCCATAAAGGAGAACAGAATCATGCAGTTTCTACAAAGTCACCTCAAAATTCAGGCTGGGATAGGCACTATCACTACACAGTTGCTTCAATTCAAAATAAAACCAAAAAGCAAATTGTGCTTCCAAATTTCCTCAGAGGTAGTATGCTTTACAATTGTGAAATCTGTTACTGACTCATTCAAGATGCACTCAGGAATTAGAGAAGTAAACCTCAAAGGTAGCTGCATGTATTTATTGGAAGCTTTAGTGCATCTCTTTCACTTTATTTGCAATAAAGATGCAAAAGGGCAAAAAAAAAAAAAAAAGGAAATAAGCTAGAAATTAATGTAATGTGTAGTCAATAACACCTGCACATAATAAATATAAATAGTTGTTTTCTTATGCATAGTTTCTCAGCAGTAATTTTCCAGATGCTTCACAGCAGTGATTGGTAATGTTGAGCACACCAGACATTTTTTTTCATGACTTTACTGAAAAAAGTCGAATGGCAAAAGACTTTCTTATTTATCCAAGTCTAATTCATAGGAAAAGGGAGAAAGAACAGTGAAGTGACTCAATTCACAGTGACAAAGGTCAGTGACAAAACTGCAAGATAAGCTCAAATCACCCTATCTGGCTGCAAAAGCACTTGTATGCAGTAGGACTAGAGTTGTAAGGCAAACGTCTTAATGTGTGAAGGATAAACCACCCCATTAACAGTTTAAAAAAGAGAGTGGGGGTTTAGCATTCAGTTTTATGATGGGGTTTCACACTGTTACTCAATTCTGTAATATCATATGTAAACCTTGCTTTGTGTCTAACTTGCTTAAAGCACTCAAACAAAATAGGACCTTTATGCAGGTTGCTCCTCAACCACTCATGAAATAAGGTGGTAGCCCACACAAAATTTCTTTTTTTCCTCTCCACAGTTGCAACCACATCCCATTGTGATAAGTAAAATGTGAGTTCTTCTTCACTAGAGGTTGATTTTTCACTTTCTGCTTTTGTACCTTATGTAAAGGGTAGAAACAATACTTGCCAATTCACAGAGTTATTCTGAAGATTAATTTCACTGGAATATTATTCTTGAGAGAAGCTGAGAAAGTTAAAGTCTCTAGCTTAGTATATTCTAAGGCTTATTTAGATGGCGTATAGGCTCTAACAAATAAAGAGAGCCCACATAAGCCAGGTTATCTCAGACACTGCCAAAAACTGTGATAAGGTGTAGTAAGAGATGACATTCACTTCTAAAGGAGTATGCTAGGAAAGCAGCCTGGGAAGCATTGCTTCTTACTGGGTATTTCTTCTGCGCTGAGGTGAAGAACTCCTTTGCTTTGCATCTTTCTGGCATCACTTCATCTATTCATGATCCAAAAGACACTCAGATCTATGGGAATCTTTTCTTTGTCTTGGAGGAATATTAGCTCACAGTCTCACATTGCAACATAATTGTAGGAGTGTTTCTAAAGAGTGCTTTATTCCCTTTTTGTGAACTTAAGAGAAAGAGTTTTTCCACATTTTGGATGTTAGCATTTGTCAACTACAATCAAAAGAAGGAATCTATATTCTGAAAGCCCTCTATCCTTAAATGTGACAAAAAATCACCAGTCCTTTGTGTCTTCCATTTACACCAGTATCTGAATATATATCAGTAATCACGTGAAGCTTGCAACAACTCAAGTCAGTATTAACATCCCCATTTGAGTTGAAGATATTGAAGCTCAAAGAAAATAATTGTGTTTAGAGCTATAAAGATAGCCAGTACAAGTTGATATACTCCATTAAGCATAGCTATTATGTATTAAGCTATACAATTCTGAATGCACATTCACCTGCAGCACTATTTGCTATAAGTTTTTGTCACAGAATAAAATGCTGCAATTGTCATACACTGTTGTATCTTTAATTGTTTGTAATTTCAGAGTAGTGAGGAAGTTTAGAAACACAATCATTTTTAATAGAATGAAATCTTGCATTTAAAATTTCTTTTACCCACAACAAAGAAAACAACAAAATTTTAGTATGCACAAAATGGAAGCATCTATTGTAGTCCTTTTTTATCCATATGTGTTAATGACTTTCCTGCTGGTTTTGAGATAAGCACCATGAGGAAATAAATATTTCAGTCTTTACTCTGTCACAATGGTTTTGACTGAGTAAATACTGTAGGTTTGGTCCCTTGTTTGTTTTTTCATGATCTTCCTAAAGCTCAGAAAACAGTTTTACTTGAAATTACTAGGACACTTGCCATTTATTTCACTGGAAATTAATGAATAGCATTGCTAAACAGTACATAGAAGACAAGAAAAAGAAAAAAAAGAAAAAGTTTAGTTTTCCTTACTTTCCCCTGGTAGTTTGAGAGCCAGATGTTTTAGATTTGGCATCACTTTGGGTGTTGGTGATATCAATGCTGTAGGATGGCTGCTTGAGAGCTCTGTTCCCTGCTGCTCTATCCTGGCTTGGAGTGACCTCTTGCTGGAGAGGGGCCTCTCTTGCATTGCTCTGTAGAGAAGTCATTTTGCTGCTAGATGAGCTTCTCATCTTATCTTTGTCAGAGTCCCCATCACTGTGTCCATTTGACTGGCTTGCAGGGATGGAGGTTGTAGAATTGGAAGTTTTCTTCGCTGCTTTAATTCCCAGAGTCTTGCCTGAAGATGCAGAAGTGGGTGCCTGTGATGCACTCTCCTTGGCAACTTGTATCTCAGAATAGGGTGACCCTGCAGTTGTCACTGCATTCACAGAGCCAGGCATTGCAGTTGGAGATGGGGTCATGTCTGAATAAGTTGTTGGGCTTTCATCACCCTCCTCTGTGTTCCAAAGCTTTCCTGGAGTATTAAATCCAAGGCTGCCACTCTGGAAGTGCAAAAGGAACAGCAAGAAGATAACCTCCTTCATTCTGCTAGTTTATAAATGCTAAGGATGTCTCACATTTATTTCCCAAGCAAGAACCCTGTGGCTTTTCTCTCCTCCTGAGCTGCTACTCATACAGCAAAGAGCCTACCCAGAGAATGTCCTGCTGGGGTTTATTTTTTGTAGAAAGGAAACAGGTTTTGGTGTTTCAAAACTGACAGAGGAAGCCTGGTTTCCTGTTTCTGTGGATTCCTCTGCAACCTCTGACCCCTTAGAGAGCAGGAGCCTGGCAGCCTGTGTAGAAGGAAAAAAAAGAAGTTTTTGCAGAAGGCACAGGATAAAGATTAATGGCACAATAGAAATGTGGAAAAATATGTACTGTGAAGTAATCCTGAGAGATAAAAACTGAAATTGGTAGGTAATTTTCCTTTCACGTGTACATGTGCAGAGAGCAGAAGTGACTTGTCACATGCACTTTGAATGATTTGTACTTGTGACCTTGTTATTGAAAAATGACTTGGAAAACTGGTGTGCTACATAAAGCTCAAAGTTTGCTGTGTCTTCTCTTCTGCTTTGAATAATTAAGCACACTGCTGCCAAACATAGGGAGGTGTTGAAAAATAGGATCATGCTGTACTCATTGTTGTAGTACAAGCTTTTTTATGTAATCACTTACCTGTAGGTCATTGGCTATATACATGTATACCACAACCTGGTCCTATAGCATTGCTCCCACCACTCAAAACAACCTGACACCCTCCCCTATAAATACCCAAAGGTATTTATACATATTGATGAGATTCCCCCTGAGCTATCTTTTCTCTTGCCTGAACAGTCCCAGCTCTCTCAGCTTTTCCTCACAGGTGAGATGTTTGAGTCCCTCTATTATTTTCCCTCTATTATATTTGTGGGCCTTCACTGCGCTCCCACCAGTATCTTCGTAGCTCTCTTGTACTGGGAAGCCTAGAACTGGTGCCAGCACTCCTGGTGTGGCCTCAGCAGTGCTGAATAGAGGGGAAACATCACCTCATTGAACCTGCTGGTAACTCTCCTCCTAAGACAGCCCAAGATACTCTTAGCTTGCTTTGCATCAAGGGCACATTGCTGGCTCATGGTCAACTTGGCATTCACCAAAACTCCCAGGTACTTCTGTGCAAAGCTGCTTTCCAGCCAGCCGGCCCCAGCATGTACTGGTTCCTCCCCAGATGCTGGACTTTGCAGTTCCCCTTGTGGAACTTCACATGCCCTTGTGGACATTCCTATCATCTCATAGCAGAAGGATCCTCTGGTGTATCAGGGACTTTTCTGAATTTTTTATCATCTGCAGACTTGCTGCGGGCACACCCTGTCTCATTACCCCGGTCATTAATGAAGGTGGACTTTATAGTACTACCTGACTAAATGGAGGCTTCTATTTTAGGATGATCAAAAGAGCTCTTTAAACTCATTGACTTATTGACTGTCTTGATTAGGAGCTTGGTTTTGCTGCTTACACACAAGCATAAGCTTGGATGTCATCTTGCACAATGTGCTCTAGGTGATCCTGCTCTGCAGAGGGGTTGGGCTAGATGATCTTCAGATGTCCCTTCCAATCTCAACCAGTCTGTGATTCTGTGATTCTGTGTTTGGTGTCTTTTAAGATCGTCTTGGATGGAAGAGACATCTACATGGTCCTGGCAGAGATGGTGTATAATCTGTGGGAGATGTGTGTCCTTCAGGGGCAGGATATTTGAGAGCATTTCAAATGATTTTAGAAGCTTATAAACCAAAGTTTAGACCCCTAGTTCAAATACAGACTCATATTTATGGACATCTAAATCCATATTTCTAATTCTGCGAGCTCAATCCCACATACAGACAAGACTTAAATGAATATCCTGAATCAATGAGTACAAGGGAATTCCTTCCCTTTTATTGCACACTCCAAATTCCTGTAACCTCTTTCATAAAACTTTCAAGGTTGATCTTAAAATTAAGGTTATTTTGGTATATTTTTTTTCCTACATCTTTTACTTGTAAGTTGTTTAAATACCTCACAAGGCATTAAATTATTTTCACAATGGAGTCTGAGTAGTACAAGATGCTATTCTAAACCAGCATTAATTACAGCCTTAGCAAGATATTGGGAACTTTACATAAATGATCAGATGGAGATGGTGGATGTTCAATATAAAGAGTGAAATATATTTATTTATTTATTTATTTATTTTTACACCAGAAAAGTAAACAAATACTGAATCAGATTACCCAGAGAAGTTGTGGGATCTCTGTGCCTCGATATATTCAAAACTCAACTAGTTCTTATTGAAGTCAATTAAATTTCTGTAATAGCGGCTCATGTTTTGTGGTGTTTGGATTAACAGTGTCTTGCTTTCAGTTTCCAGTTGATAGTCTGGCCTTTTAGGTATGCCAAAAGTTTGGGTTTTCCATTTGTTATCATTTTGTTTTATTGTATCTTTAATGTGTAGGATTCTACTGTGCAAGTGAAACCCCTGCCATTTTGTGATATAACATGTTAAAGAAGAAATGCAGCTGTGCTCCCTTTCAGAGACTTTATTTCCCTCTTCTTCTCATTCATAATAAAAGCCTGTAAAACCTTTTGTATGTAGACCACAGTCTAATGAGCAATCTCATTGAAAGGCTAACATAAACTATTTCATGTGAGTGCTTCTCTTTCTGAGCTCTACATTTGCGATTTTGAATTAATACCATTACCTGAATTAGCATCTGTCATCCCCTATTTTTAGAAATCCCAAGATAAAAAGAGAGGTAAATTACTCTTGACCATATTTGCAAATTAAATGCAAGCTGGCTTTAAAAAAATAGTAGCAGCTGGTATATAGTGTGTTTATTTATACAATCAACTTGCCTAATAACAAAAAAAAAGCTTGTATTCTTCCTTCTATTACCCCACTGCAAGTGTTAATTATGCCTCTGCAGTCAACACAGCAACTGCAGATTTCCACCAATGCAGAGAAAAGCAATGTAGAAGAATCTGGCTTTTGGTGGCTGGAAAATTTCATTACAACAGTGCTTTTTCCCTCTTTGAATACCCTTAAATTAACATTTATTATTAATATAATTTTATTAATAAATGTCTGGGCTGTTGATCACAAGTTAAAATTAGTTGAAGTTGTTTTTATTTAGCAGAATAACCTTGGACTGTAAGAAACACTGGCTATCAGTTTTCAGATTGCTGCATGCTGGATCTAAATCCCAAGTTCCTCATAAATAGTATTTCAGCATTAGTTTACATCCAAGTGCTGCTTGTCTCACTGCAAACTGAAGATAGGGAAAGATAAGCGCTTAGACGCATTTGGTAAAACTTAGGTAGAAATACATGTAGGTTCAAAATTATCCTGAAAACTCCTACTCAACACACTGCTTACTCCCTTATGCGTAAATCCACAGATGCCACTGTTTTTTCAGTAGTTGTATTAAAGTGCTACTGAAATCCCTGAATATTGGGCTAGCCTCATGGATTTTTATTGTAAAATTTAAATGTTAGTATTGGAGCAGAAACCGAACCTGAGGTTCCGAGTTCATGGATTACTAAGTGACCCCTCCTGGAGTCTACATTCATTACTGTTGCACACATATTCTTCCATTCAGTGAATCTTAAATTTAATATATATTGGCACACTGAGCAGGAGGGATGGCAGAGTTCCTTCTTCTCCTATGAGAACACAGGGTGGTAAAAAACACTGCTGGGAGGTAGAAGATATGGTCTGAAGATGTAGCTGACCTCCTGGTGGGCATTCAAATCAACAGTCTACATTACTTTAGAAGAGCAGCACCTTTCTCCTCACAGAAGAGCTATCACTTCCTAGTTCTCTAGGAGAAAGAGAAGAGCCTTTATCTTCAGGGTCTCAGCTGTGGCTCTCGCGATGGGGCAAGCACTTTGCAGAAGCCTGAGTAAACTGATCAAAGCTGGGATTTTAGAAACACTTTTGTATTTAACATCTGGTTATGGCACTCATTCAGTTCTGTGACTTTAGACAAATCCTTGTTCATGCCATTGAATAATTTTAGTCGTCTCTGGGGACTTCAAACTCTCCCCAAGCAAAGTGAAGGGAGTATCAGGTTTGCTCTGTTCTGCAGTTAGACAGCACATTCACTTTGGCAGAGCTAGTGTTCATTCTTCAGATTATTAAACAGCTTCTATAAGCTCACCTCTGCTACACTGCTGTGGTTTGTCTCACTGCTTTTTATCATCCTCACTCTTGGAGGTTTACTAGTAGTAAGGCTGTCCTTAGCCTTAGAGTAGTCTGAAGCTACCAGAATCCGTAGGGGCTGGCCAGCCAAGAATACGTGAGGTCAAGGATTGCACAGCCAGATCATTTTCTCCAACTGTGCCGGCAGCTACAGCATCTGTAAAACACTGCTTAGCCCATGGGCTGTTTGTCTGCTTAGCATGCAGTGTCAAAAGCAAAATGGGTAAAAAATATGAGTTTTTATTTGAGAAAGCTGCCATTTGGTAGCATTTTATTCCACTAGCATGGCTGCTGCTGGGAGAATTTAGCTTTCCTGCGTCTCAGATAAATTACATTTGTGTTGAGATAGTATTTCACATTACTTTCAGTACCAGGTCCAGTGAAACAACCACTTTGTTTTCTTCTCATATACAGACGGGATAGGGCAGCACTAAGATCATGAAAATAGATATTGAATCAGGAAGAAGAAATAACTTATGTAACTCTGCCATGGTGGAAAAAGTTCTCATCAACTTATATAAGCTCTAAACCTACTCTATATAAGAAGAGAAAGCAAAGTCTGATTTTCTTCTCATAATATTTTCCCTATCAGCTCCCAAAGTAAGCACTAGGCTTCTGAGCAGTTCTGAATTTCCATATTCATTGTTTTAAAAGTTAACAGCATGTATCCAATGTGTATGGCTGGTTAGCATGAATTGATAGGACATGCCATATAAGAGATGCCATCATGCTCAAAGTGGCTACATACAGTATCATACAAATCATAGAATGGCTTGGGCTGGAAGGGACTTCAAAGATCATCCAGTTCCAACTCCCCTGCCTTAGGCAGGGACACCACCCACTAGATCAGGTTGCTCAGGACCTTATCTAACATGGTCTTGAACACCTCCAGGAATGGGGCATCCAAGACCTCTCTGGGCAACCTGTTCCAGTGCCTCACCACCCTCGGAGTGAAAAATTTCCTTTTA